TTAACATCACTTAGAAGCAAATTTTCGTGTAACAGTTTATCGAAAAAAGGCCCAAAAAATCAAATCAGCCGATATGAGAAACTAGTAGTAGTGGTGCACCAAATGGTGCGCCTGCGCACCAAAAAATCTGTTGGTGCACCAGTGGTGCACCATTAGAATTATACCTGCGCCAACAATCCTAAATGCACCACATGTGTTGAATACTATAATTGCAATATTTCAAAAACATATAAGCAATTGATGTCTCAAATAAAAACAAATGTTTAAACCTTTTTTTAAGCTTAAATTTTAAATTTATCTATAAGTATTTCATAATACAAATAATAATAGTAGGTTAGCTACATAATTCTATGTAACATGTGATCAACATCTATTTTAATAATCAGATTCATAATATTCACTATATTCGTCATTAATTTTGTTAACAATTTCAAATATTTTTCTAATTGAATTATGGTACACAGATTTTTTACAATACCATTTTTTAAAATCACCATCTATTCTAAGATCTGATCCGCCAAAAGATAGAAGTGTGTTGTTTACAATTATTGCACATTCTACATTATTTACTCTGCTAAGAATAGATTCCTTCTGGATTTCATTTTTTAAAGAAAAAATAAAACTATAATTTGTTTTCCACCGGTCTGTTCCAGTTTTCACCATACGGTTTTCAAGAGGAATAAATCCACCAATTATCTCGTTTGTTTTACTGACTTTTGAAACAATTAATTTACCAGCCCAATAACCCATATATGGCCTATCAAATTCAAATCCATCCCTGCTGCCCCTATGTAACAGTTTGAACTCATATGGAATTTCTGAAACATCATAATGCAGGTAATGATGAGTTTCTGAAGTTTGATCAATCCAATTAGAAATCTCTGCAGCATGCTCCAAAGTAATTATAGAAGAAAATTTTTTTACGAGGAGGTAAAATTAAAGATGTTATAGTTCTGTTTGGGGCTAAACATTTTGTCATTATATCATCACACAAGATTTTTCCAAGAATTTTTTGATAAGGTAAGATTTTATCTAAGACGCCTTCACTAGGAATTTGAAAATATCTAATATGAGGAAGACAACGCTGAAGAGTAGTTTTCAAAGAGTTGAAATTTTTATTAGTCCATTGTTCAAGATTAGATGGTAAATTTTGAGTCCGTACTTTTCCCCAAAGGATAACTTTATCCCAAATTTCAGATTCATCCATCTGCAAATCATCAGACTTTAAAAGAGAAATCAAAGCATTTTCTTGAATAGTAGTGAAATCATCAGAATCAAAAACTAGGCTTAGATGTTTTACAATAATATCATTGCAAAACTGTTGTAAAGCTTTAAGGTTTTCGTTTTGAAAGCTAAATTGGTAAATTCGAGAAAAATTCAACTTTATCCAAGATGCATTGTCTTCAATAAGACGAGATTGAAGAGATTCAATTAATTCTGATAATTTAAATTCATTGAAAGTGGCAAAAAGATCAAATAGAACTTGAGGATCAAACTTTTCTAAGGAGATTACACCACCATAGATATATCTTTAACAACGAATATTTATTCAAGTATTAATCTTTATTTTTAAAATGTAAATATAATATAATAATAAAGCAAATAAAAATGTAGCTTACTTAATAACAATGTTAAATATT